TTGCTGTCTTCTGGGCCTGGGAAATCAGAGGCCTGTTTGTGCCTCAGCACATGAGAAGAAGTTGTGCAAATAGAGAATCAGTGCTTGTTATTTGGCTGTGGGCTTGAAAGGTTTTTCAAGCCATTTTAAAGCTAATGCTTAACAAGTCTCCAGTCCTAGAATATCCTGTGCTGCTGTAACTTTGTTTTCACTGAAAAAAGCAGTGGAGGGGACTTTGATCAAATAACTACAACAAACCTACCAAGACTTAACAGGACAAGGAGCAATGGTCTCAAGTTGCAGCAAGGGCAGTTTAGGTTAGATATCAGGAAAAGCTTTCTTACCAGGAGGGTAGTAAAGCACTGGAATGAGCTACGCAGAGTGGTGGTGGACTCTCCATCCCTAGAGGTTTTTAAGACATGGGGGTAGACAAAGCCTTGGCTGGGATGATCTAGTTGGGCATGGTCCTTTGAGCAGGGGGTTGGACTAGATGACTTCCTCAGGTCCCTTCCAACCCTCATTTTCTATGATTTTTATACACACACACCTCTGGATGGGAAGATAATGGGGAGCTCCAATGGAAATGTACAAATGCATGTCTAATATAAATACATCGCAGGCATGCCCCCATACATATGAATGCAAGATATACATGAAATGTAGAACACATGCAAACGGGCACACCCCAAACACAAAGGCTCTGTGTACAGAAACACATGCATACATGCATGCAAACATACACATATCGACTCTTGCACAATACAAAGCTCAACATTTGAAATGTTCAGTCAGTAATAGTCATCCAAAACTGCAAATTCTCATTGCCAATGGACCTACCAAAATAAACGCTCCCATCAACACATACAAACCACAAACAAGCACAGAGCTCAAATACATGCATGCCCATACACAGACACACAAAACCCTGCATGGTGCATATGCATATACCAAAAAAATCCACATGTGCATACACGCCTTCCCCTATCACCATGCACAAATATCACACTTTGTTCCCATACAGAGCTGTATCACATAACCCAAGTACCTCCCTATTTTTTGCTTGTCTGACTAGGATGTCAAATCCAAAAAAGGAAAGAAATATTCTGCTGACTTTACAAAGCCAGCTTAAAGGAAAGATCAGGGTTCTCAGGCAACAGAGGCACTTAGGATCTTGTTGCATAGGACTCTTATCATGTGTTTCATTTACTGGTAGAATGTCGTAAGCATTACCGTGCTGCATTAAAAGTTCTAGAACGCATGTTGAGCAGTCACACAGCAGTGCTCACTACAGTCTGAGCCTGCATGTTTCATAGGGTGCTCTGGTAAGCGAGGTCTCTGCTCCTGGCAGCGGGTGGAGAGAGGCATGGGAAATTGATCCCAGGAGTGAATGCTACTCCTGCTGTTGGGTCCTGCCAGTACCCTGGGACTGGCGCCAGTTTGTAACTGGTGTGATCAGCAGAATGTGGCTTCCAGCCCTGGGGCCACAGATTGCTTGTCTCACCTACGTGGAGCCCCATGGACGGTGGCAAAACACGTACCACTCACTACAATCTGGAGATACACCTCCTGTGAAAAGTCCTAACTTCTGTGATATGAGTGCACTCAGCATGTGCTTTACTGTTTGAACATATGGAAGCTCACATTGTAAATGCAGTTAACATATCCTAAATGAAATATGTGACAAGGCCTTTATAATCCTTGGGAAAGGAAGTTGTTAGTATGCAACCCTGTGGATATAAAGGTTGAACTATCACATCCAGGCCATGTGAGAAGCAAGGGAAGTCACAGACAGACCATGGAGGGAATACAACAGGATATAACAGAAGTGTAACAAATAAGAAGTAGAGAGTCATGGACATGGCATGGGAGCACAAGTAGTAATCAAGATAGAGAATAATAAATAGGACAAGCAAGGAGAGCCCAGAAGAGCAGGAAGAACCATAGGTAAGATGTGGGAAGGAATTGCAGCAGGCACAAAGGGAAGTTCATAGATAGGAGATAGGTAAATCATACAGAAGATGCAGGGAGCAGACAGATGGGAGGAAGGCAGAAGGAATCTCAGATTGGACACAGGGTAGTCACAGGTAAAATACAGGGGGAATCACAGGTGAGACATGGGAGCCACAGCTGGGATGCTGAGGGAATCTCAGATGGAAGATGGCAAGAGTGGCACATAGGACATGAGAATCACACGGAACAAACTGCTCTTCTAGTTTTGCAGCAGCAGGACATTAACAGTGACCTTGTCTCCTTGCTTTAACTGTGGCAGGCTGGGGTGCTCTTGTGTGTTTTGGGGCATTGTGCCTTGTAGCTGTGTGAGATGGTTGTTTGTGCAGTTTTCAGAACAGGTTATATGTACACTTGTCCAGAATGGTTTAGGCAACGGTGATCCTGCCTTGAGCAGTGGCTTGGACTAGATGTGACCTCCTGAAGTCCCTTCTTGCCCTACTTTTCTATGACATGGGGTGTCGTACATAGGGAGCACAAGGAACAGATTTTAGGGGCTTTACTATCCTGTTACAGTAGAAAGTAACCATAATGTAATGGGGCCCTAATGAGCTCAGGGCCCATGACATTGTATGGTTTGTGCTACCCTTATGCTGTCCAGATGAGGGAGCCACAGATGGGATGGAGGGGGAGATGGGACATAGGGGAAGTAGCACATGGGATGCAGGAGTAACTTGGGTTGCAGCTAGGACTTAGAGAGTCATGGATGGAATACAGGACACAAGGAAGCCGAGGCAGAACAAGAGAGGGATTGAAAATGGGAAATTGGGAAATCATGGATTAATCATGGACAGCAGACAGGCATGGGGCAATCACAGATGGGATATACTAGGGGAGAGGAAGATGGAGTATGGGGATGTTGCAGACAGAACACTGTAGGAGCAAAACAAGGTGCTGGAGGATCACAGACAAAATGCAGAGGAATCACAGATAGGATCTAGGGTGGTTCTCAACCTTTTTTGTACCAGGACCTATTTGTAAACATCAATGGCTAGTTCTGACCTAGTGCCTCTCACTCCTGATGCACTGCCCTCCACCCCCAGGCCCCAACCCCCCAGTGTGTGGGGCATGGGCGCCCCCAAGCAGCCCCTTGCAGGCTGGAACTCTGCCATCCTGCAAAGGAAAAGCCACGGCTTCCCATGTTTTGCTGCATTAAAGGAGAATCCATTTTTAAAGTTTGTTTATGATACTTTCATTTATTCTTGCGATCCACTTTTGGGTTGAAAAACACCTATCTAGGAGAGTTGAAAACAGGCTTTGGGGGAAACTAGAGATGGGGGCAGTTGCAGATGGGACACATGAATCACAAGAAGTCACAGGAAGAGGGAGGATCCAAAGAAGGTAGATGAGGAGAAATCCCACGTGTGATGCTAGGGGAGTCTAGGACTCAGGATAGTCACAGACAGGACACGGGGGAGTCACACACAGAACATGGAGTAGTTACAGAAGGCATGTGGGGAGGCTGTAAATGGGATGTTGGGACAGCCACAGATGAGGAAAGGGGCAAGTCACAGGTAGGACAAGGAAATGGGAAAAGTTAAAAATGGGAAGCAGCATAGAACCCAGGGAGAGGCACAAACCTGACTAAAAGCAAGAGTCACAAGTGAGAGCCTGAAGGGAATAATTCATGCAATGTATATGAAGGACTCACAGACTGTAGGCCAAAGAGTGTCACAGACTTAATATAGAGGGGGAGCACAAATGAAATGCAGAAGGGAGTGAAATGTCACAGTGGAGTTCAGAGGCAGTCACATATCTGATATAGGAACAGTGGGCATAGGTGGGACATGGAGAAATGAAAACAGGATATGGGGTAGGTGTTGCAGATGAGACATGGGTGGCACGGCATAGAGGAGAGGCACAGCTATGATTCAGAAGACGGGAGAGGAACTGAAGGGACAGAGTTGTAGATGGGATGCAGAGGGGAATTACAGATGGGAAATGGCGAAAGGGACATTAATGAAGTGTTGGGGAGGGGGGGTCACAAATTGTGCATATCAGTCTGTTTAGCTGACCAAACGGCTCCATCTTAGCAAGGACAGGACACAATACCCTGATGTAAGCAGGTGCCTCTTTGTGTATCAATATCCGTTTAGGTATCATGCGCCATTCATCGAGACATCTGGGCACAATGACATCACTAACAAAAAGCATGTGCGCCTCTTCCCACTGTCTTTGATGCTGATTTCAGTGCAGCTTCCCTTTGTGTCTGAGTATGCGTTTGTGCATGCAGTAGCATGAGAATGTCTCTGTCTGTATCTCTGTGTCTGTGTGTTATATTTCTGCATTTGTCTGTATGTGCTTGCTGCATACAGAGAGGGATCAAGGGGCTAAACAACCAGGTTGCTGGCTGGAGTCTTGTGGTTTGAGCAAGGCACTCCCCCTGCTGGAGGGAAGGGGAGTCGCTGTCTTTGGATACTAGGGTGTTCTGGCTTCTGGTGTGCATTTCTCCAGAATCAAGGTTGAGTATTTTATTGTGGGAGGGGGATAGGAATAAGAGGACACTCAGGCAAAGCAAAGTCTTTGAAGTCTGACTGGCAGCTGGACACAGGAGAGGCTGACAGGAAGAGCGCTATTATGCAAAAGAGCGTTATTATGCAAAGGGGAAACAGAAGAAATAGCTATTGCACATCTGGCAAATTTCTTTGTCTGAGTGCCTGCCTTATATTCTTAGTGTGTAAACCCCTTGGGGAAGGGAGTATACATACATGTGTTTATGTGCAGGTGTGCGTGGACATGTGTAATACGTGGTTCTGTGAGGCATTCATGGGTTACGTATATTCATAACATTACCTTCTAACGTAAAGATACTCAACCTTGGTTCTGTGTGTTTGCATACCTGAGCTGGTGGAGGCTGCATTACATTATGGTTACCTTCTAACATAGTGAGTTAGTAAAGCATAGAGCCCCTAAAATCTGTCCCCTTTGCTCCCTGTGTACAACACCCCATGCATATCCCCATGCATGTGCGTATGCTGGTCAATATACCTGGGTTTTGATGTGCATTGTGTATGGGTTCTATGACTGTTTGGATGTGCAATGTGCATGCTTGTTCTCCAGCTAGGGACAGCCCTTGTGACATTCAGCCAGATGAAGCTAACAAGAGAGGCAAGAAGTACCTGTTATGTGGAGGCAGGGACACTTATTTCATTAGGACAGAGTTTAGAAGCCAACAACTCCTCTCATACAGGAGCTATCAAACAACCGTCAGAGGGGAACAATTTTCCCTGGGGAGGTTTAGGACCACATCAGCTGACCCCAGTGCCTGTAGAAGCAGAGCGCTTGTGGAGGAAGGCTCTGCATCTCCCTCCCTGCTATGCCATCCCCCAGCAGGGGGGCTAGAATTGAAGTGGCAACCGTGCATTCCTCCGAGCCTGACATCTGAACTTGCAGTCTAGAGCAGCAGTTCCCAAACTTAGATTGCACACCGCCAATTTAAAACTATACAACCTTAAGTACCACCAGCAAATGTTTCCAGTTCAACCTTAAGAACCACTAGCAGATTTCTGTTATATAAAGTGATTATGATAAATCTGTTAACGCGTACCACTGAGAGGTTGGTACCTGTACCACAGACTGGGAACCGCTGGTCTAGACAGGAGAGCAGCCAGTGCAACTCTCTCCGATAGACAGCAGGTGTCAGTGTTGCACACCTAATCCTGAGCTCCTTTGTTTCACCCCTGCTCAGCCTTGTTCTGTTGAGCTGCCTGCTGGATGAACCAGAAACGCGATTGACCTGAATCTCCCCGGAAGCCTCGGGGATTCGGTGCAGCTGCTGCCTGTGGCTTCCCAGGGACAGAGGGCGGGCTGGGCTCATAGCTGCATACCCGAGGTGGAGCCCTCTCCAAGGGCCAGCGGGAATGGAGACCGCGGCAGGCCCTTTGTGGCGGCGACTGCATCACCTCCTTTGTCTGGGGCCAGGGCCTGGTGGGCCTCTCGCTATTCCTGCAATATAAGGAGATGTGAAATGAATGGAGGCGGGAGCGCTGCTCACAATGGGGGGAGAGGGATATCTGGTCCCTCTTGCTTCTCTCGCACAAGCAGTGAAGGGGCAGTAGGGCTGTTCCCCATCCCGCCACCAGCTGGCCTCACCTCGCACAGCACAGGCGGGCGGGCGTGACCCCGCAGTGAAGGACACCAGGGGTCAGAGCGGAGCAAGGTGCCCGTCCCCGCCCACACTGGGGCCCAGGCCCAGCCGCTCTGCCACCAGGGCCCCGGCCCTCACGCACTTGCCCCTCGGCCCCACGTGGCGCAAACCCCTCCCCGGTTGCCACGGGAACCGCCCCTCCCTCCCGCTGGTCTCGTTCTGAGACCCGTCTCCTTCAGCCCTTTCCCCCATTGCGTAATTTTTTTTCCCCCAACGGCCAATGAGCGCCCTGTTGCCAGGCGGACGGCTCATTTGAATGGCCCAATCAGCTGCCAGCCCGTCGCTCCCTCCTTATATGGGGAATTCGGAGCCTGCACAGGAGCGCCACCCGGACCCCGGACCAGAGCGCGGGAAAAAATACCGCCCCCCTGGTTCCCGCGTTGGGCCCAGCCCCGGACGTGGCTGCCGGGCGGGGCCGGGCGCGGAGCCAGCGGGGCCTCAGCCCGAGTGGAAAATTCCAGGG